CCCTTTCTCTCTCTCTTTTTTAACATTTTCAAGAATTTATTAAAAAGAAGATCCTAAATTAGGACAGCAACGAGCTCTATATGCATAAACCAGACAAAATCATAACAGCAGCTGTTTTGACCTCACAGTATAAGCGTAAAAACATCAGTTAAAGTAACAACAAATATCTATTAAATCTATAAAGTGACAAATACATATTAATTATTACTCAAATTATTATTTCAGTCGTTCTTAATGTATCAAGTGTCTATATGCAAAGAAAAGCCAAAAATTATGTTTTTTATCATTAAATGACGACATAGCCTAAAGATGCTTTACGGCGTAACCAGGTTTCATTCACCCCCCCCCCCATTCCAGTCGGCGGGCCTGCACACACTAAACCTAATTTTACCTGTTCTTTTTAAGCAATCCTTTCTTTAATTGCTTAATTCTATTTGGCATGTTTTATTGAGAAAATTTTGTTTTCTTTTGGAAAACTCCTTTCCAAAGCCATAAGACAATAATTTTTTGAATGCATTGAAATTTTTTTTTTTTTAGATTTCAAATTTAAAAATAATCAGATGTTGAACAAAGTTAATAGTATGTAAATTTAGAGCTATCTTCTTGAACGATAGTGCTACTTAGACCAAAATATATTTGATTTTCCAACTTCATTCAAGCACATAAACAGAATACTGTTAATAACACAATAGTGCAATCTATATTTGTCCCAGACACCTTAAGTAATACTTGTAGGTCAGAATTTAATTTATGTAGTGGAATTTGTTTCAGGATAAACAAGTTTTAAACTTATGGTGAAATAGGAGACTATTTTCAGATGTTTAATTGTATTGTATTAAACCATCAAGGCAAGGTTATATCTGCATAAATATAATATTGGTGTAGGATATTTAATTGTTGGAGAATGCGTAAGGGTAGTTACTAATCATAAAGTTGTGATTTTTAAGCCCCAGTATTTGGCTTTCTTGTAAATCATCTTAATACATTACTAAATGAATGAGAATACTGAAATAACAATATAGCATGTTCTCACTGTCGATTTCTAGAGCACACAAAATCTATCTGAAAACCGCACCACAGTATGACTTTATTCGCTTTCGACAGTTAGTTCATGAAATAACTCAGGAGTTCAAAAGAATCTCCGAAAGAATTGTAAAGTTTGAACAGCAGCTGAGGACCGAGTTTAAATCTCCTCATCTGGCTGATCGTCTTTCTCAACTTCAGGAGGAGGAAAAGACAAAACTAGAACTAGTAAGCCTACATCTGTAACTAAGTTTTTTTTTTTTGTTTTTTGTTATATATTCATCTAATGTATATTTAAATACAAAGTTTACTTGCTTAGTCATGTCTCTCATAAGTTTTATTTTGAGGACTGATTTAAATTTTTCATTTTCACATTTAATAAGTGCGAGTTCTACCTACAATGTTGAGTTTATAATGAGTTTTTTTTTCGTTTCTTCGTTCAACTACCAGTTCACATAGCCTCCAATTTTAATAAATTTAGTATAATACCTGGAAATTTAGTTTGTTTGGAGAAATTAAAAAATCTGTGATCTCAAAAATTTGAAGGAATTTTAATTTACATTAGCAAATTACCCTTCAATATAATACTAAGTTAGTTAATCCTGTGTACTTATGTAGGTTTAAATTTCATTCTGGCATCTGGTAATTTTCATAGAAGCTAAAGTAATTTATGTAATTTGTATTCAGACTTTTTTCTTCTTCTTCTTAAGACTGTCAGACTTCAGCTTGCAAAGCAGAATGTCATTGACCACCCCGAGGAACCAGAGAGACAGGCATTGGTCGTCGATCTGAAGCAAAGGTATATCAAGTACCATATTTTTTTTCACATAAATCTTACTTTACCAACTACTTTTAAAAAGCTATTTAAATCTTAAAAAATCAATTTTAAAATGGTTACTTTTCTTTATTTGAATTACATATTTCCAAACAGTAAATGGTATAACAAAAGATATCATTGTATTTTACAGCAGCTTCTAATATCGTAACTGATAGAAAGAATTAGCTTTCCTAAATGTGTTGCAGTAGTTTTTGATGTCCTAATAGATAGAAAGAATTAGATTTTATTCATATATGAACTTTTTTTTGTTGTTGTTGTTCAGACTTAAAAATGTGGAAGTAAAGATCAACGAACACTTAGAAGAACTGCGATATAAGATGCGGGAGCTCTAAGCACAGTCTTAGCCAGCACAGAGATGATCAATGTACTATTATAAATACTTTCGTTGTATGAAAAGTGAGATTACATATACAAGTTTTCTACTTTTATAAACATTTTTTAAATGAAATGTCAGCAGGTTGGTTAACATACGCATCAAAGTACATGTTCTAATAATGGTTAATTAACCATTATATCAAAGTAATAAAGTTAATCTGTTTCTGACGTTCAATTAAAAATTCCGTCCTGCTGTGATAATCATTTTTGAATTTCATTCCATTGGTTTGTATCATTTGGTTGTTCTCAATATATATACCAGTTAATAAGTAGTCTTTAAGATAGATAGAATATAAGCTGATTACCATTAGCTGATCACTTCTGTTTTTTTTTTAAATCGTTTTACAAATTTATGCAGTAAACCTCAGTGAAACATTTTTATAAATTTTTTTATGCTCATATATTTTATATGTTCAGCACTTATTTTATCTTGTGTTTGTATTATTCATAAAAAAAGTATATTTCTGTTTAAGTGTACCTGCTGCTAGGTATTATTGCTTTAAAATTAACACCTTAAACTTTTTTTTTAATGTACTGAAATATTTTGTACTGTTGAAAATAAAGCAGTCACTTCTCATGAATATAAGTATCGCTTTAATAAGTATTTACACTTAACACCAACCATTCTCAATTGTTTTAATGATATGAAATAAAAAAAAATTCAACAACTAAGAATACAATGTTTTTCATTTAATATTGACGATGAACTTGAGAAATGCAGGGTCAACTTAAGCCTACTTGATTGAATTATATGGTATTTGTTTTGTTTTTATGGAGCCCCAGGGCTTATAGCCCATGTTAATACAACACCAACTGCAGGTGTCTGAAATGAAGACACAAGATTAACAATAATTCATTTTATGTTAAAAGTTTTCCTGAAACTACTGCTACATAATTTGCAAGTAAGGAAATACAATCGGTGTAATTTTAGCATCAGAAACACAACACTTAAAGCCAAATTATCTACCTCTCTTATCTCAATCTGAAGAAGTTAAAAGTGCATTACTATAACCACTTACATTTAGTGTGTGTAATGAGCTCTCGCACTTCTTTCTATATTATAATGACATGTCGGAACATTTCCCATCTTAAAATAAGTTTTATGTATAGATATGTTTACTTTTCGTATTTGTAAATTATCTACATAAAACTACACAATGCGTTTGAGAGTATAGAAAATAAAGGATCCAAATTATGGCAACAGAGACGGTGGTTTTAAAAAGTCATATTTAATCTTTGACTGAAAGACAACAACTGGAAATTGTACTTTTAATATTCTTAAGACACTTTTGCCATAGGAACATAATTCCTAAACTCCTTCAGCCTTCGATGGTTCATCAAAGTTCTCAACTAGATCTGAAAGAATATATATATATATATGCTTTTAGAAAACAAAAGTACTTTTATTTTTTAGTTTAATGTTTGTTCTATAAAAAATAATATTGTGAAACATCTAAATCACTTCTAACATATCTTAAAGAATAAGATGTCTTTCATTTAAAAATTCCATGATAAAATAACATTGTTTAGGAAATCCAAATTTGGTCAACTTTTTACACCTTAATACATCCTCTACATCTACACACACATTGCTTAAAATCATTAGTTGAACATTTCATTTACTTGTATCTCACCAAAAAACGTGTGAATTTTGCAAACCAGAATACTTCATACTAAATCTATGTAACAATTTTATTAATAAAACACATCAGTCAGGATACTGGTAAACTAAAGTGCGATGGTGAGGTTTAACGAGTACTTTATTAAGCTAACCTAAGATGTGTACCGAACAACACCATTTTGTAAATATTCTGTCTAATTAAAATTTTAAGGTGTAATTTTAGTTTTCCAAAAAAGTAGAAAGCTTCAATAACAACATATAAATGTTACTACTACATAAATTACAATTTTTACCTATGACGCTGTTAAAGTCAAATTAGTTAAAGGGTTCGTATCAAATGATACAGAAACCTGGTTCTCAGACATAAACTTTCGTAACAAGTGATCATGGTTTTTTTTGTTCTCAACGAGATAAACATTTGCACATGATTTAAATCTTGACCATGCACCAATAAACATTGATTTTAAGTAACATTTTCATCGCCAATTGAAAAATATAATTTTAACCAGAGATTACAAAAAACAACCTGGACACGCTCAACAATTCCATTTTAAGAATTACTTATTTCTCATTAAAAACCATTCAGTTGTGATGTTTTAGTGTTTCTACTTCACCTGACACACAAGATGTAGGCTTAACACTTTTATGAAAAACAAACACTGATACAACAATATAATGATTTCTAATCGACACAGTACATTAAAGAAAAAATCTAGTAAAATTTCTGTATAAACTTACACTTCTAAAGTTTACAAAATGAAAACTGTGGAGGTGTAAGGTTTCTTATTAGGGAAAACAAGGATTTACATTAATAACAGTGTTTATACATATGTGTGAAACGTACCAGGAACTTCTTCTTCATCCTCGTTAGTTCCTGTGTTTTCAGTCTGATCTTCACTGGCACTTGCTAAAAAAAGAAAATTTTGTATTTTTGGATCTTGTCAAACTTTTACAAGTAAAGAATCTGATATAAAGAAGTTGCATGAAACTAGAAAGTTAAGGAATCTTTGAAATTCAACAAATTAGAACAGATATTTACCCTAGAATAATGTATATCTACAAATGGAATCTTTTCTTAACCCACTGTGGCTGGGACGTACATTTCCCAGTGCTCCCACCCCCTTGCACTGCAACCGAGACAAATGTTTTCCATTGTCAACACTGTTTATGCCTTCTTGTACTGAGTCCATGTTGATCATCTTGACTATCATCACTAGATGGAAAGCTAACATCCTCTTGTCTCTTCATCATCATCATACATTCAAACACCACTTGACTCACTTTTACTATCTTCTAAGCTATCTTTGTCAAGCATATTTACATAGTAATTAGGGTTATTACTCGCTGCTCTAGCGATGCGGGCATGCAATTGTCATACAATGCGCTTAGGCATCTTGTTGGTTACTGAAGGGCTAAGTGGAAAACATTGAGGGATGCCAATAAATACTTTCCAACTCATTTTACTCCCATACATCACACGCAGCAATTTTGAATGAAAATGGGAAACATTTGCCCCAGTCACAGGTGAGGGGATGGGAGCACTGGGAAATATACATCCCAGCCGCAGAGAAAGGGTTAAACAATTTAATAATTAACATTTGCAATTTACTTGAAAATGAGGCGCTTCCTAAATTTTAGATATTCAAGAGCTAAATATGTTAAATACTTGTATAGTATTTTGTTATCAAGAGTCAAAAAGAAAATGTCAATGAAATGAAAACTATAAATATGTTTGTATAAAGTGTCAAAATGATTGTGTGTTAAAATTGCTTAGAATAAGTGTAGTACAAATAATTCTAAAATGCTAAAACAATTAATTAACCAAACAGTTCCCTCTAAACAATTTTCACTTACTAAAAAAATAAGTAGTTAAATTAAATACACTTTCTCGGAGATCAAAATTAGTACTCAAAATTTTTTTTATAATAAAGGCTTAAGTACCAATATAAACCACAACAAAATTCTCTTACCCACAGAGCTCTGGATATCAGCTAATCTCTTTAAATGAGTTAAACTTTCTGTCCCGAGTTGGTTTAATATACCTGGAAGCATGTCTGTAATTTCTGTGCCAGAAAAAAAGATGAACCAACATAAATATATTGCACTACATTCTAAGTAGAGTATAAAACAGGACTAGTTTTTACACATTCACTACTGCTAACTATAACAAGATCATTAGAGATGTTCAGCTCACAGTTTCTAAATAAACTAATACTGCTTTTAAAATAATCTATACTTTAATAAACCTACGTTTTGTTTCTGCATGTCCTGTGATAGCAAAAGTATTGGCTGTCAGAGAGGCTTGAACTTTTGGGTTATTGAAGTGCAGCACAGTTCCATCATCTTTGATCATGTTGACCTGCAAATTTTGTTCAAAGACTTTCAACAAAAAACAACATACCTTTAACTAAGTACTGTAAATGTTATATCCTTACAATAGATTCTGATATACAGTGGTTCAGAAAGTAATTTTCAATCTTACACAGTGAGAGAACTGTGGTTATCCATTTATATTTATGACTTAATCGACACAAAAACGTTAGTATGTATCAAATATTTTAATATGATGTTGGTTGGGTTAACTTTTCTTTTCTTTTAGTCCTGGAAACTTTTTACAACAATGAGTAAAACTCAATCATGGAATCTTACATCAATGGGTGAAACTTTATTCCTTAATTTTACATAAAAATAAAATAAATTAATTCTTACCTTAAAAATCTGACTTGTAAATGACTTAAATAAAACTGAGAATAATTACGATTCACGTATTTAATCTGGTTGACACCATAACAGTTGTTATTTATAAGCACTAAGGTTATATATAGCACTTAGACCATTACTAAGTCTGTGATATCCCAGCTAAACTGATTTGCCCTGGTACTGGATGAAAAGCCTATTTGGTATTGGACATGGCAGATGGAATGTGACTGACATTTTCCTTGTTTTCTTAGAATCAATGGATAAAAGTCAACCCGTAGTGAGTAAAGGAAAATCCTGTAGTCTTATACCAATGAGTCAAACTCAATCCAAGAATCTGTCATTCTCTCTAATGGTCAAAAAGGAATCACAGAAATGAAGATGTCATAACAATACTCATTTCAGACAATTCTTTGACAAAGCCAATAAATTTAAAAATACCCAACTGTAGCTTTACTTCACAATAAAACAAAAAATGTTATTAATTCTTGAATTATTCATCAGATATAATGTTGATATAAATTTTGCAATAAAAGAATTAGAAACAAGAAAACCTCTATAATGGAGCATTAGAAATGAAGGGTTAAATGTCAGGAATAATTCTGTAGGAAACACAAGCTGGGATTAAATGCGATGTAATAATACCAGTATTTTAAAAATTGACCAAAACTGAGTCACACCGAAGCCAATTCTGTACAAGAAGTTGAATAGAAATAATGTCATAAATGAAACTAAAACCTATATGATTTAGAAGAAATTGGGTAGCCCCACAATATTTTCAGCTGTAATTCCAATAACAATCCACCTTCAAACGGCTGGGAAGATTTAGGTTAGTCCTAAATCCAAAGATTTTAACACATTATGATTTACTGTATTAACCAATAACATTAATGAAACTAACTGGAAATATTAACTCATAGCATTAATCTCTAGTAATCCTGTGAGTGTCGAAAGACTGTACTGTTTAAATTACTTAATTAAATGTTGATAATTAAATACTGGTATTCTTAGGTAAACTGATTTCCACGCATGAGATAGGTCCACTATATGATGGGAGGATGAATGAGGAAAATTGTGAGGTAAATCTGAACTTAACTAAACAACTTAGTTTTAAGTTAAGAAATAGAGAGACTAGATACGTGATGTAAAATGAAACACCACCTTTATTTATAATGCAAAATACAACATAATGTACACACTTGCATGGACAGTGCAAGACACATGATGTACACACCTGCATGGACACTAAACAGTTGTTTTCCACTGGACTGGTAAATCAAACAACAGTTATTCCCATGCATGATGTTGATTCTATTTTTCTCAATACAACAGATGATCTGTACTAAAAAGAAATCTTGGTTATACTCATTAGTAACGTGTTACCATGCGACTTGTCATTCTCATGAAAACGGACAAAAAAAATTTAACCTATAAATATCATCCATCTTGGCCAGGGAAAGACACTGCTATGAACAATCTATTTCTACACAGAGTGCGTGGAGTTATAGCAACATACCAATGAGTAAAGTAGATGCTATCTTCTAGAGAATAACAAACAATGAAACAATTTCACCGATTTACTGGACTACATGTTTATGCCAAAATGCATAGGAACAGACCAAATGAAAACGTTTAAAAATTCATATATTCATACAAACAGGTAGAATACATATGTTATGCCTGCAATAATAACACTTGTTACTGATTTGAATGGAGTACTTAATACTCTACAAAAGTAACAAAGTTAATGTTTATAATAGTAATACTCAGTGCGTGAAGTAGGAGAAAAGGATGAAAATGGTTTGTTAAATTTTTGAAGCTGAACACCATACTTCTCGTTTTTTTTATGCGTATGTATAATAGTAAAATGTAAAAATTAGAAACTTATTAGATTTGGTGATGAAAGACAGTAATAATAAAAATTCTTCATGAGATGTACTTGTTACAGTAATATTAGGTGCACATTCGCAGAGTGATTTACAGCTTGTGTGATGGGATTATTAATTAAAAATGGCTCAAAGGGCAAAAAAAATTAAGTGTATACTGTTATGAGTTATAGTATGGAAAACCTGATGGTTATGAACTCGTGCAGACTGACAAGCCTATAGTGAGAGAGTTCATTTGCTCCATCGATGTACTACTTTGTCTCATTTCTACCTCTCTCTTACACGAGGTTTTAAGAAAAAAATATAGTTTCTCTCCTCAGTCCCTTGCTGTTGTAAACATTTATTGCATCTTCTATTGAACTTTTCCTTTAAGAGATGCTTATAATCATCTGCAAGGTGGCAGGATGCCATTCCACTCCTTGAAAGAAGTGAAATGGCATCCTGCCTCACTCCAAGCACTGGTAATACTGAACTATAAAAATAATATATAGTTCTAAAATAATTACTTGAAGTTAAGCATGCTTAGTTATACACTTGGCCACCAATCCAAGTTCATTTAGTCAGAATCTTTATATTAGTTTCTATATGAATTAGCATGTCAGGCCTCTTTAAAGCAAGTCTTTTGTACCTTTCAAAGTGAGTCTTTAATCTTCAGAACAGTCAAGCTTCTGATGAGATTATTACATTGATAGAAGAGGAAATAAGCCTGAGAAGAGTGAGTAAATACAAAAAATAGGAACAATACAGAGGGAGCAGATGGACAATTATATTGCCAAAAACTACGAACAATCAAAAATTAAATTTATGCTTTCAAAACAATTAAATCACATTCAAAGATAGCTTATTCTTACATAGAAGTTAATGATAATTATGGTTTTATTCAGTGTGTTTGTTCGTATAAATAAAAAATCAGAAATTACCACAGCAAACTGACATGTTTTTATATTAAGGAAGTGAAATTAAGTGATTATTTGTATAAGGTTAACTTAATTACTTCTCTTTATGGTTTAGTATTACGAAAGATGAAAAGAGGCCGAAGATAGCGAAAACTGTCTTCCTTAGTAGAAATGGTTCACAACTATCTTTTCAACACATCAGAACAGATAATCTCTATAACTCTAAGCCATTACTTTCACCTTCCAAATATTTATACACAAATGTTTTGGGCTACAGACCTTCCTCACTGCACCAATTCAGGCAGTACTCCTGTTTTGTCAACATCAGACATTGTTTCTTTGGTTTTTCCATATCATCTAGGGACTCTTTTCTCATGTACACACAATCTTACATTTTTGTGGCCATTTTGGGTGAAGTGCAAACCCTTATATTTTCTTAGGGTTGAAGGGTTTGCTTCTCTCAGATTTGGTGACTGGAGAAGCCTGTAACTTAGCTGTCAAGTGCTTCTAAAAGGCTGTTGGAACACCATAGAATGGTTACAATATTTCTCTAGAAATAATTTCATGTCTCTCTTAATGTTGCTGTAACAACACCAAGAAATCCTGTAATAACATTTTCTTTCATGACACAAATATTTTGAAAACCATATATTTACCTATATGCGGTTATACTCCCGAGTCTTACATCACACTCAACTCTTTCCATTTTCATAAATGAGTTGATAACTGATATTGCATTCTACTGGATATATGTAGTGTTGTGAAAAGTGGGTAACCATTATGAGCATTGGGTTATATTCACTGGTGTGCCTATGCATCAGGCGTATAAAAATCTACTACTTCGATGCTTGCGAATATCAAATTTAGAGCTATACATACCAGCCCAGAGCTACTAGTGCAGTTCTGTTTGATTAAAATGTAAACAAGTATGTAAAATCCAACTATATTTAACCTCCTCATCATTCTCTATGTGTTGTTTTCTCAGTGCTAAGCTGCACTGTGGGTTATCTGCACTCTGTCCACCACAGATAATCAGCATTGAACGTCTATAAACTTACTGTTGAACCACAAAGGGTCTGTTCCCTACCAGACATTTCTCAACATGTCTAGTTGTTGATGTTACCAGTGGTATGTTTTATCATGTGACCTCACTTATTTAAGCTATGTAATAAATACTGCATTCTACATGCACCCCTGGTGATGGGAGCAGGTAATCTCTCAAAACAATAGATCTTTTTAAAAGATTTTTAGTTGGCATGCTCTTTTAGTTGTTTTATTAGTACTGACTGATGATGATTCTTAATAATTATAGGCCTAGTCTCTGGTTCAAGTATAATACGTTTAAATCTATTTAAGATTATATTTAAGTTATCCTATGAAAAACTTAATTAAGCCTTAGATAATGACTCTTCTAATAAATAGTCAGCCTATAGCAGTCTTTCTTCAGGTGTGATGGAAGATGTAACATTGAAAAAGTTTAAAGTAGATTGGATGAATATTTTAGAGTTTAGTTTGGGTATAAGAAAAGGAGTTTCTTTGCGTAGCTTGGAATAGAACGGTTGTAGAAAGTGGAATAGCATAGATGAGCCTCTTGTTATCCCACAGATGGCACATAACTTTATAAAATATAATAGTAATGAAAGATAGTGTTACGACAGCGGAAGTCACGTGACGCCGCTGGCACATGCGTGACTGAATTTCTCGAATTATCGAGGAACACCGGGAATTTTGGAGAAGCCTCTTTGTTAATATATAAGCCTGGGGAGAAAAGCCAGCGGGATTGAATGTATGGTTAAGCGAACAGTAGTCACAGTGAATTTCGCGTAATTTACGATTCTGTTTCGAGCTAGTGTGTGTGTTTTGCATTCGTAGAGAGCAAAGTTATCGAGATTGTGAATCGCTGTGATTTATAGCATGTATTATAAAAATTGTTAAGTTTAAAGTGACAAGAAACGTACTGACTGTGGAATTACTGTGTACTAAAAGTTTGTATCGAGAAAGAATAAACTGGTTTAATCAAGAAAGGACTTGTATCGCCGAAGTTCCTCGGAAAGAATTTCTACCGGAAATTAACAAACAAGCAAATACATAACAATAGTAATATTATAAAATAACCACTAGTAACTAATCTTTACCAATAATATAAATGCCTTAATTAGTTGAAACTGACAGCACCACAAAGTGTAATAAACGAATTTTATGTAATGAAAATCAAAACCATTTTGTTTTAATAATCCACACTATCTAGTGCAGGCCTTGACAAATCCCAGTGTCAGGTCACCATTGTTACTAAAAATTTCATCAATGGCACCTAGTATTTTCTCCCATTTTATTCGTGGACAGGGCTATGTTAAATAGAACTCAAAAATCTAGAACGGATCTGGTCTCTTGGAAGTCCAGAAATATTTTTGTATTCCTTGAGTTCTAAATCAAACTTTGTTTCTATGATTTTAACAGCCGATCTGGAACTTCATGTTTTTTCAAGAATGAAGCACTGCAGTTGCACAACACGTTCCTAATTTTGTGCCATTTTGTTTTTCTTCTTTCTCTCAATTCAATCAATCGATCATTGCACATGTTTAGACTCATACGGAACCAAAAGCAGTTACTTCAGGCAATACTATCAAGTGGTTTTTGATATCATGTGATCATCAGCATGCACTTTTTGCAGTGAAAGTAAATAAATATACACTGGTCCCTCGATTATTTGTGCTGGTCCGAGGAAAGCAAAAAATTTGCGGATAAAAGAAACAGCAGATAATTGAGGCACTAGTATATCTCACTAGTTAGCCCATTGTTTAATCTAAATAAAATTTTTCAATATATTTAAGTTCCTTGTTTTAAATTATAATCTTTTTACTGTTGTTTAATCACATTATCATGAAAAATTATAAAAGTCATCACAATCATAAAAGCCAAGTGTCAGCTGGTCAGTCAGTCGGTCATGCTCGATTTCTCTGAATTTCACACGTTACACAAGTTCAATTCCACTTTTTCACCTATAACATTTCCTCTTTTGATTGCCCATTCCCATTTTAATTGAATTTAATTACTAACATAGGCATAAATAGCTCTTAAACTTTGGCACTTTTTCTACTACAGACACAGAAGTATATTCACACCCTATCAATGCCTGTGAAAAATAAGTAAAAAATCAGTGCAAATCTATGCTTGAGGATTATTATGATGAAGCCTTTGTTAAAACAAACTGGAGATACCAATTTACCTGTAGGGAAAAGGACAATGTGTAACTGGGTGCCCACTGTGCAGCATAGAACAGCAGACGACAACTGAAGTTGAGTGAAATCTGAATGTGTATTTTGTGTGTTTTTGTATGCTATGTTTTTAATCACTAATCAAATAAAGTTAACCAAGCTACAAATATTTTGTATTCCTATCTTGATAGCTAAAAATAAAAGAGGAAAGACTAGGCTTGAACTGGCTGACTTATAATTTGAACGCACGCCAGATCCTGCACACAAAAATCCCAGATATCATGCAACATCTGAACTTTTACAACCAAAATTTACATCTAAGCGACAATTTCTCCAAAACATGTAAAATATTGTCTAGAATTTTAATGGCACAGTTATTTTGGGAAAAGAAAAAAACCATGGATAATTGAGGAACTAGTGTAGCCCCCATTTCTCGGTACAAACCTAACCTGGCTTCTAGATCTGATAATATTTGACGAGGCCTGATCTGGTGTAATCTCTAACAATTTCATTAACAATCTTCAGGAAAAAACAACCAATTATTTCATTTTGTGGTAGTTTGTAAAAGAGTACAAAAGTATGCCTGGTTTTTTTCAGCAATTCAATACCAAAAACTGAAATAAGTGAATATCAGTACTCAAATAAAACTAATAACTTTTGTCAGCTATTGCACTCATCAGGTGTGAATTAAATGTAAGCATATTACCTCTTCAATCCCAGGTATATTATTTACAGACAGTTTTTTTAATGAAGTCTGAAGTTTCTTATCATCTGTAGTTGACGTTCTGTGAACAACCTTTTTTTTACGACGAGCTGTGCCCTAGAAGAAAAAGAAAAAAACGTTTATGAAACATGATCAAATATTTAAAAGATCAATAACTAGTTTAATTATTAATTCAGTATTCAATTAAAGAAACAAGATGTTGATTTTTTTATTTATTCTTAAAGTCTTGATACTTAACTGTATTTAACAAATTGTGTTTTATAAAAAGAATAGCTGAAAACAATTATATATAAAAATTGACACTTGAAATTGTCGGTAGTTGGTGAAACTCCATAGTTACAGAATTGAGGAAAAACAAAACAAATACATGTTTCACCAAATACATTATTTATTCACAACCATGATGATGCCTTTACTGGAAAAAGCATGGTTGTGAATTAATGATGTATTTGTGAAACATACAATCGTCTTGTTTCTTCCTCAATTCTATATACAATTTCTTATGGTGTATACACCTTTTACAAGCTGGCGAAGAACGATAACAATTATACTTGTCATAAGACATTAGTATTATGCCTATTACACTTTAAATACTACATTGTTAATCTAGTCCCTTAGGGATTTTCAAGAATTAGAAGTGTATAATAATTGTATTCCAATCACACTATATTTGTCATATTCACTGATGATATGTTTCACTCAATCCAGAGCACTTCAGGCTGGATGGGAAACAACAAACATAGCCAGCTCATAAAAGGCATATACACCATAACAGTTGTTGTTGTTGTTGTATCAAATGGTTTATATAAATAGAGTTCTGACAACTTGTGTATTTGTTGCATATAAAAATTATCTTAAAACCACACCAATATTCTCGAAAAGATTATTTTAACTACAATCACTTGATCTACTGAGAAAAAAACACTATGGATACTAAAGTATATCGGAATGGTAAACCAAAATATTAAATAACAACTTACAACTTACCAATGATTTATTAAAAAAACTATAACAAAACTGGAAATTAATACTCTTTTCTTTCTGCTTTCAAATTTATCATGGATGCTAAATGTACATTTGTCCAGTATTTTTATGTTAACTGAATGTTTAGAGTGTATAAAATTTAAAATTTGTGCCAATGACTATACACACAAATACATATATATATATCTAAGATCTTGTGGATAAGCAAGATGATAGAAAATGAATAAACACCTCACAATTAAGTATACTCCTCAAAGAACACATAATAACACTAGGCAAAAAGTTAACAACAGATCTCAAAAAATAACATAAACGATTGGGCTGATGTTCTGTACATAGTTATGACATCTTTGCAAGCCAGATGTGGGAAGTTATCTTACTGGCCCTAAGTGTTCTGTACATAGTTATGACATCTTTGCAAGCCAGATGTGGGAAGTTATCTTACTGGCCCTAAATCTCTACCCTTAAAGGTTACCTAATTATTTGGCCCTGCTTCTGTGTCACCCACCCCCCCTCCTGGAGTGGAACCACACTCATTCTAAGGGGTGCTACAGAGACTTGTATATGTAGAATAATTCATGAGTTTAAAAAACAATGAGAATGGTTTCCAATCTAAAAATAACATATACCACAAAAACACTTTGGTCTAACTTGAGAGTGTGGTATTATTAATTTTTGCCTTAATTTTGTTTTGTAGGACAGTGATGGAAGAAGAGCCGGTACAACTACACAGGGTTCACCGGAGGGATCCAACAGTTTTGAAAAAACTATCATATTGTAATTAATTTTTTCCAGGGCCCTCCACATACCTAGTTATTTTCCTTGCAAAACTGTTCAACCTTTTTCTCTGTCAACAGTCTCGAGACAGTGCACTTAAAAACACATTGTGTCAGTGGTCTAAGAGTCTGAGTTTTTAACCAATGTCATTTTCTTTGATCCTAGGGAAAAAAACACGTCATGGGAATTTTCACAAAGTAAATCAAAAGAAGAGACAGATGAGTGTCAGTTTACTGGGTGCAAATAGTGAAGTAGAAATCACACCTCAGTCAGTTTAATGTGTAGTTTTTTCTCATAATTTAAATGAAACAAATATTTAGTATTCAGTTCATGTTATTAAATACCCAAAATTAATATGTTAAGAAATATTATACAGCTCAACATTTTATATCTCATGCAATAACGCATACAAGATGTGAATAACATTAACTTTTACAACTGTTATAACCAACATCCACTATTAAGGAACTTCTAGATAGAGTTCTTGTTGATAAAGAACACAACCCAGGGAGAAGTAAGTTTCCTTCACATATTAAAGATAAAGTAAAACGATATATATACACATAACAGCACAAGGTTTGTGTAAACCTGGTGATCTATTTCCATGGGACAAAAATCAAGACTGGCATCATTTCTCAACAATGTTTTGTGATATTCCCACAAAGGCAGGAGTTAAGTTACTGTGTATTTGATTTTTTGTTATCCCCCCCTAAACTGGACAGTAGATATTGTAAGCTATGTTGGTTGTTTGCTGATTGTAATGTACCTGCATATACTGTTGCTTCTTGACATAGTTTTATTTGCATACTTGTCTTACTACATTTTAAAAGATTTATTTACTAACTTTTCTGGTTTAAATTAAGGGGTCAAGACTGACGAGTGACTATGGAACGTATCAAAGAACTACATTATTTCTAGGGTAAGATGAAAAATTAGAAATTTATTAACCACAAGTTATAGAAAGTTCAGAAATTAATAAATAATATAATGGTGTATACTTTATATTTTGGAATGCATCTTGACAACAATTGGAAGTTGAATTCCAATTCACGCACTTTATTCCAAGAACACATACCTAAAAAAGTAATTAACTTCTTACAATTCTTTGGAGGATAGAAGTCTTTTACAGCATTAACCTATTCATCATTTTTGCATGTATTCCATTACAAGTAATTTTAAATCCTAGAGACGACACTTCTGATTGACAGAATTTACTTTTACTAATTTTCACAGTTAGGTTAGCCATGCCAAGATTATAGTTTGAGGTTTTTTAATTGTTGTTAAAATAATGGTATGAAAACAACAACAACTTCTGATTTAGGACACTTGCTCCTTTAAGGACAAATACATGAGTCTTTGAAAGGTGGAAGGTGCATTTTTCAAACCAAAAGGCATCACTTTTAATTTATAAATTCCATTATCAATTATAAAAGCAGTTTTAGGCTTACCCTTGACCTTTAAAACAAATTTGATAAATTTAGAATACTAATGAATATTATTCCCGAGAAATCACTCAGGATATCACTTACAATGGGTTACATCGGTTTCTGAGATCTGGTTTACCTTTCTGTAGTCCACAAAGAACCATAAATCATTAGTATTTTTCTTAATGATAACTACAGGATTAGCCAAAAATAATGGAGGGCTCAATCAGCCCATTAAGAAGTATTTCATTCATTTATAACATTTTACAATTTTTCAGTGATTTCACTTCCATTAATAACTTCTCATTGAACAGTTTCTAGTTTCTTCTTACACCAATATTTACTCTGCTTAGTACATCTGCAATAGAAACAGCACAGTGTAATTCCAAGTACTCTCATAATGTAATATACAGTTGAGATATCAAATACTTTACTTTATCATCTTTACTTCCAAATAAATGTCTGATGTTCTCCCCCGTAATTTAAGTGCACTTTCTAAATTCTACTGAACAGTTCTTTAGACGACTCAGTTTTATTTAACACAGCCAGGTATAGGTTAGTTATTGTTAAATTCTCCCATTTTTAAAAGTTATTTCTGATCCCAGTGATTCCCACCATCTAGTGGCCCTCCCCTCAAATATGAGGCTACAGTTTGCACTCATCTACTCTCAGATAGTTGGTAAAGTTAAAAATGTCTTTCCAACCTCTTAATAAATTCCTAAACAATGAGACCCAACAGATGAATTTCCCAATAGGCAGGGGTGGAAGGTTGACTGCAGTAACAAAAAGTGGTGTTAATTCCTCATAGAGTCCCACTGTAGATGAACAGTTTGTAGATAGCAGTTGCATCAAAGTTTGAAGGGCTAGAGGAGAGGGAGGAGTCATATATTTTACCAACAAGTTTGTTAGCTAACATGTTAACATATCCATCTGATTGGTCAAACTGCAACAGCCTACTTCAAGCTTAGCACATCAGTTTCATCAATCTCCATCATAAATCCATAATAACCTTATTTTAACTTTGCACAATAATTTAAGTTAATGCTAGAATATGCACTTAACAGAATCAAAAACCAACAAACAAATAACTCAAAGTACCTCAAACGATCAGAAAATAGGTCCCTGTTTGGGCACCAATAAAGATTAATTGTTCAAGGTGATTCGGTGCACAAAACTAGGATACTTAATTAAGCCATTGATTTCTAATAAAAGTTTTAAATAAGTTCATTCCACAATTATCTTCTTGGAGTAAACTTTTTTGAGTTTCTTTTCCATATACATACATATATGTCAAAGTGCTAATTTGTCTCCCCCTTTTTTTTGACTATATTTATTTATATATAAATATACTTTAAACCAGTTACATAAACAGTATAAAAAAAAACAATCTTTCTTACTTATAGTAATTCTACAGTTGATACCAGTAATAATGCAAAAAGGTGGTGAACAATAGTACAAGATTTGACATTATTTATGAAATTGCACACAGAAGAATAAAGGAAAATAATTGTTGGTTTTGACCTGTAAACCAAGTTTTAGATAAACAAATATTTCAGTATTGTGAAGTTCACACACATTTTTGACATTTTTAGGTAATTTCATTCCTGGGAAAATATCATTAGTTGCTAAAACCATTTCTATACACTACAAAAAACCTGTTATGTATGTACAGTACACTCAAGTACTAAAAAAAGAAAGCATACATCAAAAACACTCGGGTTATCTTGATCATTACTCGTAAAAACTTCCTGTCTATATATATTGTATCACAAGCCTATGCAGGAAGTCCTACATTTAACTTCACAAGCCCATGTACATAAAAACTCATGTGTCATATTGGTCATCACTCACCATGAAAAATCATTATAACCATTAAATCACTTTACATAAAGTACTTCCATCAGTATCTCGACAGTCTGGTGGGATTATTCTATATAAAAATGTAGACTTCCATAATTACCAGAAACTACGAAAAGTAATTTATTTCAATACCAGTAAACGTTAATTTTCTTTTTAGCAGTTATTAACTGCTGTCTTTTGCGTATGTGAAGGGGAGAGGTGTTGAAAATATAAAAATGCAATACCATAAAAAAATCCTTGGTAAAATATCTAGTAAATAAAACTTGTCTAAATAAATAGTACCACCTTCAACATAACAAACAGTGTTGATTAAATGCTTTATCTATACACTGAATATTTCAAAAGATGCAATAAAATCATCCTACATCAAACTCTTTCTCCAAACAGAACAAGAACTGAAAATTAATTACGAATTAGGTTACAAGGTTCAAATGGTTTACCTTTCCACCTATCCGGACTTGAGCTTGAAGTTTGCTTAACTTTTCAGCATTCATACCTATCAGTAAAAACTCAATTAAATATTTGCTTCTATTACCCAATTTTTTTCCTTCAAAAGAATTTACTGTGTTAAAAATGTCATATGGCAGTTTTCCAAACTTTAAATAGTGGCACCCTTAATTCAGCAAAGTTTCCTTTGCACTCCCCCCTTCACATTAAAATAATTTTTGCAAACGATAACAGCAAAATAAACATTTTTTACCTGTTTTTATATATTTTATAAATGAAAAGATTCTTGTAAGGAGTGAGTAAAAGTGATAGTTTTGTTAGGTTATCATCATCTCCAACCCTTCTGTTTCTTCTGTCATTATTTTTAGGCTCTCCCACCAAAATGTCGTGCCCCCAGCCACCAGTATGTGTTCCCCCAGGAGGCATGCCATGCAGTTTGGAAAACACCATCATATGGGAAAATGAGTATTTTTTTAATTCTATAAGAAAAAAAGAAAATTTTTCAATAGTTAATTATATTCTCAACTAGACTATGATCAAACCTATTTTTTTATTTTGGAGATGTTACTTGTTTATAACTTCATGTCTTTCACATAATTTCAGTTTATTGTGTTTATCAACATTAAACAATTTTTAAAAATAATACAAACACTAAGTAGCAGAAGTTGCCTAATTAAAATTTCTCTGAGTTACATCTATACAAAGTCCTACCCTATTATTGGAAGGGTTATCTTAAATAAATATTTTATTTTCTCTTGATGAAAGAATGTCAGTAGGCGATATTATTTAACTTTACAATATTATCTAGGGGTCTAACAGTAACATGATAAAGGTAGCTTTACTTGTAGTAATAGGGTGGATAATATACCTATCAGCATAGCTAGTAGTAGTACCGAAAGGCCTCCAATTCTTTGTGCTGTGTCCTAAGGCCAATAGCATGAGAGGACACAATTACTTAGTTTGACAAAGACAGCCTAAGGTCGAGTTAAGAGTTTTATTTTCTTACAGGGTGATAATCTTATGAAATGAATTGTAATTGGCAGTAATACTCAATTAGTACCAGCAGAACAACATTTTGTGTTACTAGTACTACTACAACTTACAAGTACAACTGGAGTAGAAATACAATAGTAGTTGAACTTGCAGTAGTTAATAACTAAGTCAGTGATTAACAATCTTGTCAAACAATAAAAGTATCTCCAATTTTGATACCTTGTGAAGATTAACATAATAAGAAACATTGTATGATGCATCAAAATGTATTTTCTATATGAAATCACAGATGAAAAATGAGATTGCTTTTAAATTAGAAAGATATATATTAAAAATATTTTAAATACCTATTTTCCCGGAAGCGTGACAAACACGAGGGTATTATGGCACAAAACATGCAAAGAAAATGCCCTCTACATTTAAGACACAAAAATGTATTATCTTTTAACAATTTAGCAATTTTTGATTTTTTTAACTTATAAAATATTTTACTAATTTTTTATCGCACCTTGACTTTAAAAAATAGTTAAAATATTTAAATCTGAGACTGTTCTAAACCTAATGACGTCAATTTGCGGGAAAAAAATGTCATGTACTTTAAAAAACGCGCGAATTTGTCTTTGAAGTAGATTACCTGCAGTAGCGTAGTTTGTCATTGCAACTTCGCCGACAAGTACAAATTATAGTTGTTATCATAGTCATAGATAGTTTAACTGTAGAATATTTTATTATGACAACCAACGTTGTGCCTTCTCCTAAAAAAGAAGAAAGGTATAGAAGACTAGATTATTATAAAACTTAGTTATAATGAACTAACAATTTTGTTAAGCCTAGTGATAATTATAATATACCGTACAACTTATTTGTATACAGTATTACTAACAGTAATACACTTGGTATGTGCTTCTAAAGTTCGGATAGGAGTTATTAATTAAATCGTGAAATCTTTACGACCTTCATGTAATTAGTTTTAATGTGGACTCGTAATGAGTACTTTTTACTCTATTAAGTTGAATTAAAACTTATAAGTTATAATAAAGAATACTTACAAATATAAACGTAATGGATATTGTGACTCTGCGATATATTTTCCCTTAATTAATAACAAGTTAAAATGCTTAAAATTTATTTTAATTGAAGTACAGGATTATACTATAGGTTATTTAATAAAGTACTAAAAGAGGAAGAGAAGTAGCTTCGTTAGTTTATATGTCAAATGTAATTTGCTTTCTACTTAAGTTACCGATATCAAACGAAGATAATACTAATAGTAAGGAGATTGAATCTATTTGGGTTTCTGTTTGTGGATATAAAGAGAAGAATTTAGGCTGGAATTTGTTACTTTTTCTGCAAAAAATGTGCATATCTTGAATATTTAAGATTTTAAAATAAATTTCCAGACTTCATCAATATTTCCATATAATTCAATTGCTCAATTTGCAACAGGTAACTTGTATTTTCTCCAAATTTGTAACCAGACTTATTATTCTTGATCTCCATATGCAGTAAACATCAAGCCTTATTTAACAGTGATCACTTGCACCCAGATGTTCCCCAATCTCCAACATTTATTGTTACCTTCTAATACAGAAATCTAAAACAGTGTCATTTCTAGTAGATTTCCTAACAAACTGGTGAAAAGTAAAATCTTAATCATGCTAAAAATTTATCTTTCTCTTGATTACCAAACTACATGCCAAAAATAAAAATCCTCCATAATTATGACCGCATTAAAAACTGAAATATTAATCTCGTTCATTTTTCATCAGGTCGTCTAAATGGTAACTGCAAGTAAAAAACCAGGTTGGTTCACAAAAAACGTAAGTAAGGGATAAAATTAAAGATGGACATTACAAATTAAAATACTGCTATGATTGGGAACTTTGATTATAAAAGATCAAAAGCAGGTCAAACAGGACATTAGGACATCAAAAAGGTTATATGTAAAAAGAGTTTGGCTGAAAATGTGAAAATTAACAGTAAAGATTTCTTTGAATATGTTAAGGATAATAAAATTGTTACCATTGAACTAGGACTTTTGAATTTGAAGAATTATAAATGAAGACTAAGACAACTAGGTTACTAACTCTTATTTTCTCTTCTGTTTTTATGAATGATGTTCTCAGATGTTCATGTTAATACTGAACTTAAGAAAAACAATTGGGAAATTCAAAAAATGATAAAGCTCCTGGGTTAGATAATATTGCAACAATGGTTTTGAAGGAGGTTAATGGTTTGATATGTAAGCTAATTGCTATATTTTTTTTAATTATTGAATATTATATTTGGTTGCTGTTACTTCTCCTTTCAATGTAGCTGATAAAGATTTTCCCAGTAATTATAGTCCTATTGATTTTACATCATTGATGGAAAAAGTTTTTGAAAGTCCAGTAAAGGATGTTTTTCAAAGTCATTTAAACAGAGTTTAAAATTTTTGTTGAATAGTCAGCACAGTTTCACTAGGGGATAATTTTGTTGACAATTCTTTGAAGAGGTTACTGCTTATGTAGATATTGTTAAAGGTGTGGATTTGGTTCATCTAGATTTTCAGGGAGCACTTGACGAGGTGCTGCAAAAAAAGGTATGTTAAAATACAAAAATCTATAAAGATTTGTGTGTGTGTGATAAGTTGGCTTTTGGAACGAGTTGCCATATAGGTGTTTTAAGAGGGCAATTGATAATTTCTTAAAAGGTGGGTTTAAATTCTTATTTTCCAAGAGTGGTTATGCAAGAACAGACTTGAAAAACAAAATGGTCATTTACTATCTGTATATTTTTACTTTAATCTTGTTCTTCTAATATTTGGGAATTCACCTTCAATCTTATTCTTCCACCATTAATAAATCTCACCTAAACAACTAATCCAAGCCCCTAAACAATTTGAAATACCTGAATCAATCCACCCTTAGATCTTCTATTCTCCAAACATTTCTTTGTTTTTGTTCTTTTTATGTAAGAGAAATTATTTTTTAATAAAGTTTTATAAATCTTCGTCTCCAAAAGAAATATTGCCAGTGAAGCTGTGAACCACCTTGTTCAAGGTAAAAGACATCTTGTTGTCCAAGACTATCCATCAGCTGTTTCTAGCTTTCAAGAGTCTTGTAAACTATATACAGAGAAATATGGAGAAACGTCCAATGAATGTGGAGAGGCATATTTCTTCTATGGAAAAGCTCTTTTGGAATTGGCAAGACTTGAAATGGGTGTCCTTGGAAATGCACTCGAAGGAGGTAAGTTTAGTGCTAGAACCTACAATGTTTGCACCAGCACTTAAATTTTTTGAGTTCTTGGGACCCAACTACTTATAAAGGGTGAATTTTGTTGTTTGTCTATGATGGAGAATTGGGTCTCCCTTATTTATTTCCCCAAAAAATATAAAACCCACAGATATATCTGACTGGCTGTTATCTTAGCTCTAAAGCTGTTCCTTAAAGATAGTTTAAACTAAACTTGGTTAGTTGTGAGGGGAAGTTGGGAACAAATATTGATAGGATAGCTAGGACAATGAGGAAATTGTAAGAAAGATTACAGCACAGCGGGTTAAGTAATTTATGCAAGCTGTTTTTAACTTGCAAATTTGTATTATTTATATGTAAATTATAAGAAACTCAAGGGTGAAGCTTTATTGACCAAACCTTGAAAGTGTAAGAAATTATTTTGGCTACATATGAAAAATGGATTAGGCTAGCTTGGATTACTGAAGATGTCAATTAGTGCATTTTTCTTTCATTTTGTTGACATAAGCCAGAAAAAAAAAATGTAAGATATATTAAAGGGATCAGTAGAAAAAAGGCCTATGATTTCTTTCCACTCTATTATGAAGATGATAGAACGAGAGAAAACAACTTTCAGGTTAGGAAAGACGGGTTGGGCTTCATTTACAGTTTAATCCTTCTAATGGTGTGATTGGCTTATAAAATGAGTTGGCATTGGCAGGAGTTTAAGAGGAAAACTTATAATTTCGTGAAAAGTTGGTTTAAATTTTTGCTTCTCCGGGGGTGGGTTTGCAAAGACAGTCTTGAAGACAAAATGATCTTGCATGGTCTGTATATTGTCTTCAAACTATAGGTTTCAAAATAGATGGATAAGTTACTCAAGTCATTATAAAGAAAGTATTATTAAAGACCGAGTTTTCAAATTTTCTCTTATCTTGTTGTTGTTGTTTTTTTTACAAAAGAAAATATTAGCAGTATTCCTGATCCTAAATATTTTATTTAAAAAATGCTATAACTAATATAAATCTTTCTGATAAAGTAATGGAATTGAAGATAATTACCATGTTAAATGATATAAAATAAGTTCAAATTGGTTGGATATATATATAATGTAACTTTTTGATCAGTGATAAAAAAAAAAAATATTCTTTGTGTTTTCATTTACAGGTAACAATGAAATTGATAATCTATTCAGTTTATACAAACAGTACTAAATGAATTCATAAAAATATCTTGGTATCCGTCTACTTGGTGGGATGAGCCACAATTACGAAGGGGTTAAGCACTTTATGAATTTGACTTGCATCAAGAAACTAACAAATGAAAATAATCCCTTATTCAAGGATAGAAGGTTTTTAATTGGGTTTCATAAATAAAATGTTATCAGCAGAAAATGAAGTTTTGTAATAAATGTTAGAAATTTGATAATACTGTTGCGTCAGCGAGGTCACGTGACTAGTGTCACGCCACGTTTTCTAGAAATATCCTGTTTCTTTGTGAATGCCCTAGCATTTACTAGATTGGGGTAGTCTGGTGTGTATATATATAAGATGGCCACAACGTGACGGGACAATGTGTAGGTAGTGAGTAATTGATCTGCAGTCAGAGAGTATTGTTGAAGTTAACGTTCGTTGTTATAGCGTTTGTTTTAGTGTGAATGTTGAAATTGAGTGTATTGTAAAGTTATATTCAGAAAGAATAAACCAGTTTTATTTAAGAAAGGACTTGTGTCTCTAAAGTTTAGTTGGAAAGAATTTACGGAAAAATTAATTAACAAACGGAGACGTAACAATACCAAAAAACAACCTTGAGTACGGATGTTTTTGGAATTGTTTCTAGTTCTGTCATCAGAATCGATTAAAACCTTAAAAAAAACATCGGCTGTTGACCAAGAAGTATTTGATACAACCAAAAGCTTGGAAATAATTCATATTTAACGGTGAACTTCATGACCAGATAGACAAGGTGGGGGTGAAAACACCCCCAAGTCTGACTCTTGCAGATATTTTTCTCTGCTATTATGATTGTCGGTGACAGAAAAAATACCACATCTGTCACAAACTTGTATTATATAGAAGATATGCTGATGGTGCTTTTCTACATTTTGTCAACACTGATCACGCAAAGAAGTTTTCAGAAACTCTGAAATCCACATATAAACTTTACATGCGAGATGGAAGAAAACAGTAACTTAGCTTTAGTAGACATCCAAGTAAACAAAATAAACAATCTCTTTACTGTAAGAAAAGATTTTCTGTTTTATACATTTTATAAATTTAACCCTGTTCAAAGTCTCCTAAACAGAATATATCTGTTCTGACTAATTTTGTTTTCACTTTGAAATTTTCAAAATTGACGTATTAAAAAATAGTGGTTATCCCCTTCATTTCTTTCACTCTGTTGTATGAAAATCAAAAAATATAAAATCTGCCAAGAAGTTGCGTATTGTCTCATAATATCTGCTAGCTCTTATCTCTCTTCATAGGCAAACAGTTTTAAAATAAAACACCAAATTTGGGAAATATTGTATTATTTGCAAATTGCACTGTTCTGTAGTTAAGTTAACATTTAGAATTCCAAATTTGTTTAAATTTTTCACTGTGACCGAGACTTGTATTTCCCAGTGCAGTGGGAAATAAATGTCCCAGCCGCACTGAATTGGTTAAAACCAAAGACAGTACCCATCCCCATGCAGTTGTAGGTAATATATAATTACACTTAAAAGCTACTTAGTTTGGTAAAACTACACATAACCCAAAAATAAACACGGATGGGAATTGAGATAATCCACCTGAATCTTACTGAACCAACCACCGCTCTTTCCTTCTTGAAGACTAAAATTCTTGACTCCAGAACAAGAGATTTCTAACTCTGTTAATGAAAACCTTTGAATTTTAAGTTGTTACCCAGCACTAAATAATAGAATTAATTCGGCCCTTGTTACCATTGATCTGATCATTTCCATTTCTTTTGACATTTCACTCAAAGATGTGGTGGTCTATACGTATACTTTATCCTTTCTTTATGATGTTTTCTTTATTATTATACATGTCAACAAAAAGCTTTATCATATACTGTTATGTTATTAATGTTTAAATTACTTTTCTTTCTGTATTTTGGTTTGTATCAATAGCTTCTAGGTGATTGTTTTTTG